AAATAACTTGTTAAAAACCACTTTTTTTGTTCGTTTCAATGGTGCTCAGCAAAGACAAGAGGTCGTGGTGCATTTTGGGTAACGTCACGTACTTCAGCACGCCGGAGCTGTGACACTGAGATACTCAAACGTTCTGCGTAATTTTGGTCTTAAAGTTTAATTCTTTGCCTGCCGTTCGGGTTTTGGTGCTCTAAACATGAATCACATGAAAACGTTAAAAACTGCTGGTACCTATTCATGTAGATTTCTGAGTCTAAATTTGAAAGTTTTTTGAGCTCTGTGACCATCAGAAATAAAAGAACTCATCAAACAAAAAACTCTAGTAAACTAGACTTATAACTTCTTGTGACAATACCAGTTCTCCTTGGCTTAATTGTGACCTGACCGGTTATTACTATTTTTCTGCTTTTTTGCCGTGTTGTTTCAAGATCGTGCATAAAATAGCTCTACAGAGTTGCCCAGTTAGCGTCGGAAAGTCAAAAGCAAAGTTTAGTTAAAAATTGTAGGACTGCGCAGTTGCATTGTTGTACGTCAAGCCACTAGCGATCTCCTTACTGGAGCAATATTTTTATACCGGTGGTGTATCCATTCAATAAAAGTGGGAAAATTTTGTTTACTTCCTTGTTGTTTCAGACAAAGCAGATAGAGAATGTTGATTTTTATGTGAATACGAGTTATTCGAGAATCGCTTTGAAATCTTAAATTAATTCGTTTCGTTTTTCAGAGAACGACGGGTTGGAACTCTTAAAGAATTTATGTACACGTATAAAAAATAATACGTCAGGCTTCTAGTCTCAAGGATAAAACATATCGTAGTAAAACGTCACCCAAATGCTATTAATTCACAGCAGCAATTTCAGCTTTTGGTTCATTGGACTACCAAAGTTGACAACGAGTGGAAAGAGACTATTAAAGTTCTACTTGGATTCTTTGGAGGCAGAATAAAGAAAATAGTCAGAGCAAAATAGAATGGTTAAAAATGGCGATCTAATTTTTGAAAGTTGCGGGTCAATTTTAAAGTTCCGGTTGTTTAAGTCACAAAGTATAAAGAACGTTCACGCAGACACCTCTGGCGTTTCGTTATCTGATGACTTCGAGCTGTCTGTCCAATCTGACGTTCCGGTTTCTTCAGTTCCTGTTCCTGATGAAGTTGGTGACGACAACGATGTTCTCATTGATGATCCGAGACTTCTACATGTTACTGAATGCGTGCTCTCTGCCGAATTCAAAGTTCTGGTCGCCTCAATTGCTGTTCCTGATGAAATTGGCGACGACAGCAGTGTTCTCCCTGACGAACTTGAAGTTTCAGGAGTTTCAAGAGTACCTTTCGTTATTGTTGGAGGACTTTCTGTTGTTTCTGTTGTTCC